CAAGGAGTGCATCAAATCACGATTCTGTGTGCTTGAGATAGTTGGAGATCGTTCCCGGCGCCAGAATAGCAGTTTTCATTTTTCCCCATTGACTTATAATGGTGAGGTCACGAAAATGACCTGACCTCATATGACCTTTAGGAAAAATCCGAGATATACATGTTGTGAGGCTCATAATGGATACTAGATCCTGCAAGTTTCATTTCCCTGTGACATCTCCTCTGGCAGTGAGGGCGTTGCGAAGTTGCGACATCTGAAGACCGTGCAGAGGTTCACTTATGACGTCTTAGGTCAGTGACCTGACCTGACCCAAAAATGCGGTTGGTGTCAAAAGATCCGGCTTGAATCGAAGGTCAGGTATGCCAAGTTTCAGCTCTCTATCGCCAGCGTGTTCGGAGCTATCGCGAAAAAAACCCTATTGGGGGGGGGCGGCACCCGCCCCCCCCCCTCGGCCGGCGAGGGTTAAAAATCAATGGGGAAAATGAAAACTACTAGTTTTGCGCCGGGAACGATCTCGAACTATCTCAGGCACACGGAATCTGGATTTCATGCACTTTTTGCAAGGTCCAATGCTTCATTTTTGCATTATTGACCTTGTGTGACGTCATTTATGGCGACACTAGGGTCATATTAGTTTTTGTCAAAAACTCCCGATCGAATTGAGCTAGCGAGTAGGAAAAGACAGTAGACACCAATGGAATTAGGAAGACTTGCCAAATCGAAAGATATGCGACATGACCTCTTTCGACCAGCTTTGTGACCTGGGGGCTCTGGCCTGACGCCACCTGACCGTGAACCGAGGTTAGCACCTTAAGTTGAACTCATCCGAACGAAAAGTAGGTATACCATTTTCGACGCGCCTGAGCGAGGCGAACATGATGATGCCAGAATTGCGGCCCTGCGGCCATTTTGCGAAGTATTTATAAAAAACGAACAAGTGCATTGGGCCATTTAATCTGACCTCAAAGGCCACCGGTTGACCTGAGAACTTAAAATTGGTTACCTGTCGCTGCGCCTCGTACGGCGGACACGCTCGGTTTTTCCCCGAGGCTCTAGCTTCAGCAGGGGCGAAACGACGAGGGTGCTTTTAACTGCTTCAACCATTTCTCATTATTTAGTAAATAGTAGCCACCCGCTATTGACTATTGAGCATATTCATGCAACAAAGACCTTTTGTAATTCGTTACTCCAGTATCGTCATGAAATCCTTAATCGTTAATCGCTAATCGTGAACCCTCGCCGGCAGAGGCCATTTTGCGTCCTTCGACGGCACAAGGGGAGGGGGATGGGGGGGGGGGGGGTACGACCCCCATCGCGTTTGCCCCTGATCGAGCTAGAGCTTCGCGAAAAAAAACGTGTTCCCCGTGACGGGAGCAAGCCGATGATATCCAATTTTAAGGTCCTAGGTCATCGGTTGACCTTCCAGGTCAGAAAGTCGGAAAATCGGGAACTGTTAGAACGTCGTTAAGTGTGGCTGGTGTGGGATTTTCGGGTTGATGATCACGAGTATCATGTTAGTTTCGATCACAGATGATGTCTTTATGCATTTAGGCCAGGTCGGGTCAGGTCAGGTCAGGTCAAACATTAGGGGTCCTGCCTCGTAGCACGTGTCAACCGCCTCTGAGAGCTTCGTAACATGTCACGAAGGCACCAAAGCTACTTCATAAATGTTCAAATGGTTACTAAATTCGAATTCAGTTCCAAAAACTAGCCTAGAAGCATGTAAAACTCAAAAAGTGGACCGAGGTCATCAAAGGTCAATGACCTAACCTGACCTTCAGGTGGCCTTGACATCCACCCTAATGCATGTGAGCAACATCAACTCACATGTTGGAACGCTGGAAACCACGAAAAGACCGCAAACGCGCGGCTAATGAGAGCCGACATACGCCGAATCGCGATTCCGGCCAAACATGGTCTCGAAAACTAGGTCACAGGTCAAAGGTCGTTTGAGTCAGGGTCATGAAATTTTCAGAATAGGTGTAAAATTGATTAATGGGAAGGTAATGAAAGTTTTGTCGCGATCGGCCGCTTTTTTACGCGAGTCGTTTGCGAAAAACCTTAGGGGAGTTACATCAACATGTACAGGTCTCGCGGGTTTTAGCGGTAGGTTTTGCACCTAGAAAATTTAGTGTACTTCAGGCTATATCTTCGTCGTCTTAAGCTTTTAAGTGTTGAAGATGCGATCGACTTGTTGGGTAACAAGCCGGCCATGATCGTGTAAAATGGCTTCATCGTAGATCGATTAGTTTCTGAGATATAACCGGAAATGTAAAAGTGCAAAACCTACTGCTTAATCTCGCGAGACCTGTACATCCTTATCTGTACTTCACCCTGTACCGGCGAGAGTTAATAAGTTAATATATTGCCAGACGCTTGGCTGTATTAGCTGTCTCAAGGGCTACAAACATGAAAAGGATGGCAGAATTTGTATTATTTATCTGTCTACTTTTAGCATCACCCATTATTGTTTGAACCAAATTCCCAATAAAAGGCGGTTAAAAGGCTTCCAAGTTGGAGGCATTCGGTCGGTAATTCGGCCGACATAGAGACTTGCGCGAAAAAATTGCAACTGGAACGGCCAAATGAAGCGGCCAAATGGATGGTTTTCGGTGGACTTGGCTGGTACTATCGGTGTACTACACACAACCCAGCCAAGGGGGGAATGTAGGCAAGAGTAACCTGAAAGAGTGGACGTCTTTCAATTTACTGAAAGTTACTGAAAGTAAACTGAAAGATGTTTTTCACGTCACCGGTGAGTCTCGTGAAGCGTCTGTGAAGTTTGCTACCCGTATGCATAAAAAAGAATAACTCGCCAGCGAAGTAAAAGAGTAGGAAAGTTTTCAGCGTGGAGGTCTCTAGCGTCGACCACTCTATGGCGTCGATCGAATACATACGCAAGTTAATATGCATCACGTTCTCACATTCGCTTACTTAGCTTCGCAATCCGTTTGTGATGCGGATTTACTCTGAGCATGTATCCCCGGTAAATGTCACCTTGATCCTGCATCAGACGTGTGTAACTGTGTGTAGTGTGTATGGCGAGTACACGAGCGACTGTGCGCAGCAATGTGTGAAAAACCCTTTCACCAATTCTGTCGATGGTTTTAGTGGGTGCGAGGGAGGTACAGCCCACCGCTAAAGTAATGTGTGGTTTTACCAATCTCAACGGATGGCTTTGACTGTCGATTTTTTAACCCGCGCACCAATGGGGGTCTGCGCCAACTTAGAACCGACGGGGGGGCGGATGACCGCCCCCCCTGAGATCTCGAGAACGAAGCAAGATAGCGACAAGCGGTAAATGGCATCGGATATGCACGGACAAGGTCTGCAATTTTTACTCAGGTCATTTTCAGGTCAGGTCAAAGATGACGTCACAGGGGTAAAAAAGTCAAAATGGCGGCACTAGATATGGATAGTTTTTCTCGAATAACTTTCGAATTAGTGAAGATAGGAAAACTAAGGGCATCCTCGTAATTCTCTCGTCAATCCGCATCGAATGATATATATGTTGACCTCGAAAGGTCAAGGTCAAAGGTTGACCTCAGGTTACGTGACCTCGAGGTCATCATGTATATCATACGATGCGTCTTGACGAGCTGAACACAATGAGACCATCCGCGCGGCTGTATCTTGTTTCTGTACGGAGTTATTGGCAAAAAAAAACTTTGGTGATCTTTGATGACGTCGCATAACCTTACAACTGCTCAACAGCAAAACAGACCTCAAGGTAGTGAAGGTTGATCGTATATGAAGTCATGTATGGTATATTGGGCCATTCCGACCCGTTTAGTGGTAAAAACAGGGAGTTGATTTTTCCCCCATTGACTTATAATGGGGAGGTCGAGAAATTGACCTGACCTTAGGTCATCGATATCAAAATTCTGAGATTAAAAAAAATTGTAGCTACTAATGACCAAATAACATCCTGCGACTTTCAAAGACCTCCGACATCTACTGTAGCTCTGGCACGGTGACAAAGTTGCAAAAAAGTGACTTGAGGTTGGGTCATTCAAAAAGACCTGGTGAGCTGACCTTAAAAGTTTGGAGGTTCAAACTTGCACACCATGTGAAAAATTAATGAGAAAATAGTCGTTCGTGCCAAATTTCGCGGCGCTACGCGTCGCGGTTTTCCCGGTGTTCGCGAAAAACCTCAGTGGGGGGGGGGGCGGATATCCGCCCCCCCCGTCGGTGCGCGGGTTAATGCCTTTCATTGTAGTCTGGCTAATCGTTCCCAAGCTTCAGAAGCAGAACATACCCATGACTAAAACCGCACATTACTTCTGCTGTGGACTGTACGCACTATGTAGCACGCCATTTGGAAGTTACATAAGAAGGACGAACTGGCGCCCAGACCGGAGTCCATGTAAGTACAAAATACGGCTGTGTCATGGTTAGTGGGAACACGACCAGACGCCGGCGCTCTGTTTATACATTATATTGGATTTGAGATGCCATTGTTTTTATTATTTAATGCACAATAACGTTGGCAGTAATTGCGCCTCTACATTGGCAATATACTTTGTAGAAAACGGCGAGCTAAAAGCAGGTTCTGGCAAAGCGGCTGTTTTCTGCTCTCTAATTTCAAGACGCTCGTCAACAGCATATTTTTTAAAAATAAATTTAGTCCGAATGGTTGAATGGACGGATTTGAGGAATCAGAGCCCGCACTAAGCATGGATTGTTGTGCTGACCATGACCCCACCACCCGATCGCGCAATTCCAGTTGTAAGGCAGAATTTTGCCCGAACGTTTAACGTGCCCTCACGACTGGACACTGGACACTGTACATAGAACTTGACCGACCATTCCTTTGGCCTTGAACCTGCCAGTGATGGTTGACTCCAGTTAGCCTGAGAGAACCATCAGCTACTAGCTCACCTTGACTGGCCGACTGGCAGTGACGTCATAGAGGGTGCGGGTGGCCTGAGATCACAGCCGAGTTGTTTTGTAGCCGCGTGCAGACGGTGGGCGAAGGTCTTAACGCAGGAGGGGAGGGCAGTGCAGCGCAGGAACTCTGTGTGAGCGGGCTGGAGTGGAGGGAGTGCGGGGTCTGACTGCTGCGAACGGCATCGAGCCGGTGAGAACTCTGTGTCTGTGTGCGGAGGAAATATGAAACCGAAAACGCTTAATTTTCTGAGGATGGTGAGCCTGCTCTGCACCGCTGCCTTGTTGGTTACATCTGCCGCTGGCTGCTCTGGACAAGATGATGGAAGACCACTCATCGCCACGAGAGAAGGTCTGATCAGGGGTGCCATAGGCAGGAGCGTTGCCGGCAGACTCTTCTACAGCTTCAAGGGAATCCGGTACGCGGAGCCTCCGGTTGGAAGCCTGCGGTTCCAGCCACCTCAGCGACATCTTGCCTGGAGAGGCGTGGCGGACGGTCTGTCGCACGGCAAAGTGTGTCCCCAGTTCGACAAGCTGGCCAACAACACTCTGAAGGGTGACGAGGACTGCCTGTTTGCCAACGTGTACACGCCGCGTCTCCCGGATCCGTCCCGACCCGCCACCGCCGGTTTGCCCGTTATGGTGTACATCCACGGAGGGGGGTTGGTCACCGGCAGCGGTGATGATGATATCTACGGACCGAGCTACTTTATGGACGAGGACGTGGTGCTGGTGACATTCAACTACCGACTCAACACGTTCGGCTTCTTCACGACGCACGACGCGGCAGCTACCGGCAACTACGGCCTGCTAGACCAGGTGCTGCTGCTGCAATGGGTGCAGGACAACATCGCCGCGTTCGGCGGCGACCCGCACGCGGTGACAATATTCGGCGAGTCGGCCGGCGGAGCCAGCGTGTCGCTACTGATGCTGAGCCCGCTGGCGAAGGGTCTGTTCCACCATGCCATCACCCAGTCCGGCACGGCCCTGGCCAGATGGGGGCTGGGTAGCCGAAAGGAAAATGCCGCTGAAAAGCTGGCTGCCCTGCTTGGATGTCCCACGGAAGACGTCACCGCAATGGTCGAGTGCATCAGGAAACAACCCTGGAAGAAAATCGCCGAGCACACCAAGACACTGAAGCCGGGATTTCAGGAGCAGTTGCGGGTGGACCGTGACGCGGAGAACCCACTTATTCCGGACGACCCGCACCTGCTGCTGGCGCGCGGTGAGTTTAATCTGGTGCCGTGGATGAGCGGCCTGACCCAAGAGGAGGGCGCTTTCTTCGCGCCATCGCTGTTCGCAAACAAGCGAGCCGTGGAAGCGCTATCCGAAGGAAACCTGTCAGCATGGGCTCAAACAGCCGGTCTGGTTACTGCGTCTGGTGTTAACAAACTGGACTGTGGTGCCGATCCAATGAAAGAGGCGAAGAGAGTGTACGACTTCTACGTCGGCGACAGGGACGTCGACACATCCAGTCTTCTACCGCTGACGCAGAGCTGGGCTGACCGGCACTTGGTGTCGCCCATGGCGGCTGAGATGACATTGGCTTCGCAGTATGCTCCAGTGTACAAATATCTGCTCGACCACATCGGACCGGGACGGCTCAGCCAAGCCGACGTGAATCTCTTCAGGCCGGGTGTGCCCGACTTTGGCACCACACACGCGGATGACATCCTGTACCTGTTCAGCAACGACAAACTTCCCCCGGCACGGCGCGGCACACCGACCCACACCATGGTCCGCTTCATGGTCAACGTGTGGACGATGTTCGCGCGCACCGGTCGGCCTGGATCGGACGTGCTGCCTATGCCCGATTGGCCCGTCTTCACGGAGCTGCACCAGCGACACATGCGGCTGAACACGGCGCCCTCGGTCGGCGAGAGGCTCTTCCAGGAGCGTATCGACTTCTGGAAGACGGTGCCCATCAATGAGCCGTGGAGACACCCGGTGGAGGATGGGCTGTGTCTGGGTGAACCGAACCCAGAGGGTGGCGAACAGCGGGACGGTGATAAGTGAATATGCAGAAGTGTTCTGTCGGGTGATTTTGGTTCTCATGGTCTTTAATCATGGGAGCGGATTAAGAAAATCACAAAGCTTAAGTGGATGCTGGTGCTTATGCCCTAACTTAGACCCACTGTCTGTGCGGGCTCTGCGAGTTTGTGCTGTTGAATAAACGTAACGCTAGTATGCAGCCAGAAATGGCACTTGACAATTGAGACTTGGGCACCAACTTTTTGGCACTACAATCCATATACATCTTTTTTACCACATGCCGAGATATCCCTTTAACATTAGCACGTGCATTTGGGAAATGGCTTCGGCCCGCCTCGGCTAATGTTGAAGGTATTTGGGAAACGATTCGGCCCTAGGGCTTTTTGATTTTCCCAGACAAAGTTTTACTGAATATTCTGAGCGGAAGAACCAATTCCAAAGAAGATATTTACGGATTGTGTGTTCACTAACAGCAACAGCAAAAGTGAGCAAAATTAAGTGACTGCGTGTTCACTTACTTTTGCTGTCAACGTAATTAAACTAAACAAGGGTAGATATCGTTCCAATGCCAATGTATTTATTGCTGCAGAACATGGTCAGAGTACTCATTATTACTACATAATGCACGCAAAAAACGAACATTTTAAATGCACGAAGCATCTTAACGAGCCACAATGAAACATTTGATATTGTTCCAGCTGCGATCCAAGACGCGTTTGATTCAGCGTTTCACCCAATTTTCAGTTTTCCTCACGGATTCTTCACTCCTGGGCCCGATTTCACCAAGTGAATATATTCCATTACGGCGGCGTACATATTCACTTTTGGCATATTATGACATATTCAGTTTCACCAAACTCCGTACAGGGATACTTATTCAAGACAAAGACAAAGTATGACTGCAGAAGTCCGTCGTTTTTTGGCATACTTTTACGTTTGAGGTACTTCTGGTACGCCGATCTGCTTTTTCAACAGCTGTTTGCCGAGTTTGCTGGCATTGAAAGTATGCTACTTTTTGTGGCATACTTTGAGAAACAGCTTGGCATACATCAATTTTTTTGTATGATAATGTTACAAATTTAATGACTTCATCGATGCAACGTATGATAAAAACATGCCACTGGCTACGCAAAAAGTTTTAGAGGTCATAATGGTTATTTCTTGCTGGCTATATAGGGTATCGTGTGTCAGGGCTTATATTGAAATTAAACCCCAGAACAGCTATTTTTATAAGGCTTATCTCATCGTGGCATCACTGCGATTAAAATCACCCCATCATGCAGAAACACAACAAGGAATTCCCTTTTTCATTCGCATTCACGATTACATTATTGAGTTTTCCACTTCCAAAAAAAAAAACGACAGTTCACTCACATTGTATTTTGATAACACAAAAGGCCAAAAGCGTTTCAAATCATTCTCACCGTGATTATTACACCGTGCTCTTTTGAGTCTTTATACAGCGTTTTACCGAAGAGAAAGTAAATAGCTGGCGAGGGCGAGAGGATGAACTGAAGTCCAGTCTAGCAACGCCTTGATTGACATGCCCAGCATGTTGCATCACAAGTCACAACGCTTCATTACATTCGTTTTCATCGCCCACTTTTACTATTTCTTTGCAGTATCCATATGCTGTCCAATGTCCATATTTCTCTTGTGTTGTGGCCAAATGATTCAATTTATCACCGGCTTCCCGCTTCCGTTTAGGTTCAGAGAATGATTCCGAAATATTCTCCATATTTGAAGTCGTCGGTAGACCCTTCGATTACTTAAAAACTTGATTCAGGTAATATTTCAGATAACTTGTCGGCTAGTCGGCCGTGCTCCTTGCTACCATCAGTGATCGGTACCTAGTTAGATAGGTGCCTCAAGTAATGCCATTTCTTGTTCGGCTTTATCTATATTTGCTCTAAACCACTCCAGAATTGCGTAGAAGATGTGAACAAATATTAAAGCAATATTTAATGAGAAGTAACTTGGAAGAAAAAATTAATATTAATTCAAAGTCCAATAAAACCCACACACGCCAGTAACTTCAACTGTGCTGCGCGGCTTGCTGCCGATTGTTTACATTTTGGCTTTGGAATGTCATGCTCCGAGCAAAAATCAAGGGCATTATTAGCAATATTTCCTTAGGCACTTCCTCTTGTATGATCAGCAAATTTAATTCTTATTAGGGTAGCCAGAATTTTTTTTCATAATATTGTATATCTGAGCATTTAAGCTCGTCGACTTTAAATACGGAAAAATATACATAGTGAATGCATGTCCCCGACAAGATGTATGCATGCGCGCCGGTGGCTCTCAAACTACGTAAAGCGGGCGTAGTGAATATATTCCTGTGGTGAAACAGAATAGTATTGTCGTCGTACTTTGTCGGTGTACTTTTCCAAAGTACACCAAGAATATATTCACTTGGTGAAATCGGGCCCTGCTGGACTTCATATCTTTATTCTAACTTCTGGCGCTTCATCATCTTCATCCTCAGCTTTTTCAAACCCTAAATAAGGGGGACGTAGGGAATTTTATCTTTCATACTCAACGCAGCCCAATAATAAAAAAAAAAAATAACCACGGTGACTATAAATATAAACATAATATTAATAAAATATTAACACAATATTAAGAATATAACATATAATATCAAATGAATAGCTATGATATTAACTGTTGCGTCGGTACGGCATGTGGTAAATCTCTTCCCAACCTTGGGCTGTGAAAATGCAGTTTTATTCACCTCGGTTTTTGCTACGGACCTTGTGCCTACCGGCACTCGGTCCTCCGCACAAAAACCTCGGTGAATAAAACGCATTTTCCCAGCCCCGGGCCCGATTTCACCAAGTGAATATATTCCTGGCGTACTTTGGAAAAGTACACCGACAAAGTACGACGATAATACTATTCTGTTTCACCACAGGAATATATTCACTACGCCCGCTTTACGTAGTTTGAGAGCCACTGGCGCGCATGCATACATCTTGTCGGGGACATGCAGTCACTATATTTTTCCGTATTTAAAGTCGACGAGCTTAAATGCTCAGATATACAATATTATGAAAAAATTTCTAGCTACGCTAATAAGAATTAAATTTGCTGATCATGCAAGAGGAAGTACCTACACAAATATTGCTAATAATGCTCTTGATTTTTGCTTGGAGCATGACATTCCAAAGCCAAAAATGTAAACAATCGGCAGCAAGCCGCGCAGCACAGTTGAAGTTACTGGCGTGTGTGGGTTTTATTGGATTTTGAATTGATATTAATTTTTTCTTCCAAGTTACTTCTCAGTAAATATTGCTTTAATATTTGTTCACATCTTCTACGCAATTCTGAAGTGGTTCAGAGCAAATATAAATAAAGCCGAACAAGAAATGGCATTACTTGAGGCACCTATCTAACTACCGATCACTGATGATAGCAAGGAGCACGGCCGACTAGCCGACAAGTTATCTGAAATATTACTTGAATCAAGTTTTTAAATAATCGAAGGGTCTACCGACGACTTCAAATATGGAGAATATTTCGGAATCATTCTCTGAACCTGAACGGAAGCGGGAAGCCGGTGATAAATTAAATCATTTAGCCACAACACAAGAGAAATATGGACATTAGACAGCATATGGGTACTGCAAAGAAATAGTAAAAGTGGGCGATGAAAGCGAATGTAATGAAGCGTTGTGACTTGTGATTCAACATGCTGGGCATGTCAATCAAGGCGTTGCTGGACTGGACTTCAGTTCTTCCTCTCGCCCTCGCCAGCTATTTAAGTCGGTAGAACGCTGCATAAAGAGCACGGTGTAATAATCACGGTGAGAAAGATTTGAAACGCTTTTGGGCTTTCATGTGTTATCAAAATACAATGTGAACTGTCGTTTTTTTTTAAGTGGAAAACTCGATGTAATCGGGAATGCGAATGAAAAAAGGAATTCCCTGTTGTGTTTCTGCATGACGGGGTGATTTTAATCGCGGTGATGCCACGATGATATGAGCCTTATAAAAATAGCTGCTCTGGGGTTTAATTTCAATATAAGCCCTGACACACGATACCCGATATATCCAGCAACAAATAACCATTATGACCTCTAAAACTTTTTGCGTAGCCAATGGCATGTTTTTATCATACGTTGCATCGACGAAATCATTAAATTTGTAACATTATCATACAAAAAAATTGATGTATGCCAAGCTGTTTCTCAAAGTATGCCACAAAAAGTAGCATACTTTCAATGCCAGCAAACTCGGCAAACAGCTGTTGAAAAGGCAGATCGGCGTACCAGAGGTACCTGAAATGTAATAGTATGCCAAAAAAACGACGGACTTATGCAGTCATACTTTGTCTTGAATAAGTATCCCTGTACGGAGTTTGGTGAAACTGAATATGCCATAATATGCCAAAAGTGAATATGTACGCCGCCGTAATGGAATATATTCACTTTGTGAAATCGGGCCCCGGTCGGGAATATATAATACCTACATGAAGACTACATGCGCTTTAAACCATGGGAGGCTAATTGTACAGGGACCCGCAGTTGATTCTGTACACACTAGTATTTCAGAGTATTATTGGTCTGTGACGCCGATAAAGACGAATTGAGACATGGTTGTATGCTTATTCAAACCGCCATTTGAATGGTTTGAAACTGATGTGGTGTTCTAATTACATCAGCTTAGGGACATATAAGTGCATGTATGGCCTAAACTTTTGAGTTCATTTTAACAGAGATTAAATCGCACTGTAACACCCATGACTAAGCAATAAATGCGAAACGTGTAATTTCTTGCGTTTTTTATCCCTTTTAAAATGAATTCAAAAGTTTAGTCCATGCATGCACTTATATGTTCCATCTGTCATTTGATAATCATCTACATCAGCTTACCTGTGCAGTGTTAAAGCATTCACTGATGTCCACCCAATGAGCTAATATTGCTCACTTCACCCATGAAAGCCCCATGAAGTGCAAGCTACCATTGTAGTTTGTACGGAAGCCATCGTAAGCGCATACATATCTGTTAGCTGTTATCCGCTCCTATCCTGTGTGTACATAACTACATTGACATGCTTGAGCTAACAGAGGCGATATGTCTCAGTTTTGCAAGTCACTCGTTCACTTTCAGATACGGGAAAGGCGCCATGCACTTTATGGTGTGCTGAGCCGGTCGGTGGGATAAAGTGCACTGTGACCAGTTCATCAAGGTAGTCAGCTTTC